GGAGGGCCCTCGTCAGCTTGGTGTATGGGTTTGGTACAACCTAGCGCCGGTGTCCAGGATTAGTCCTGACGCCCCTATGTGCAGCTGGAGCGCACGTTGGCACCGAAACCGCTTTGTTTGTATTGTCACTGAGACAACTCACGCTCGTGGAGCATGCAGGTGCGCCCAGGCAGATCCGTGCCTGCCTCTGAGGGATAACCGAAGCGGGAGGTCTCCAGAAGAGCCAGGGGCCAGGCAGTCGCTAGTGGGGCTGGGCACTTACAGAGCATGTCTGTGCTGTGTGCCCTTCCCTTCAGCAAGTCTTCCCCATGGTCCGTGCTGTGTCAGTGCTGTGTCATCATTACAGTGCTCCTGGCCTCTCCGTGCCCCATGACTGACTTGTGTTTGGCTGTGCTGCTCCCCTTGGGCAGCCAGTACAATGGATGAGGGGTGTGGTGGCTCTCTGCTTTGAGAGCAAAGTGCAGTACGTTTCAGCAGAAACAAAGCACCTCTGATGCTCTCTGCAGGTTCTGCTCTGCCAGGCACAAATAAGCAGCTCCCTTCTTCCCAGGGCCCCAGCACAGTGCAGAAGCACGGTGATCCACGCTTTGATTTGGGCAGAGAGGGTGGGTACTGGGGGCTGCCTGGGCTGCTCAGGCTCTCCAGAGCTCTCCTGTGTCCCCCAAGCCCGTGTTTCTAGACCCCTCAGCCACAGCTTGTACTCCGGTGCAGGGAAGGGCTCCCTCAGAGCTGCTCCGGGCCTTGGCTGCCAGGCAGAGCGGTTTGCGTGCCTGAGCCCAAGCCGGCTGTGTGCCAGAAGCGGTTGGTGGTGCCACGCTGGGCTGTTCCCTGCCAGGCAGGGCTGCAGGGTGCTCAGTGGTGCTGCAGCTTCAGGGGGGTGGCTGGCTCAGGACAGATCCAGAAGTTCCTGAGCATCTGTGCAGCGTGATTTCCCCACCACCCACCTTTCTCACGCTGCACCTGGAGGAAGGGTGGACTGGGAGGAACTCATGGGTCAGCACCAGCCAAGAGACGGTGGTCTGCTTTATCCCACCACGAAGGCTTTCTTCCGCCTTGCCCTCATGCTGCGGGGCTGCTGCTTCCTCTACACAAACCCAACCAAAATGACTTGCAGAGCAGCAGATCCCTCCTCACCAGTGGAAATAACACGGCGGCCCTCTTTGGCTTCCCTGCGTGGTGCAAGGGAAAGGCCCCAGCAGCCTCTGCCCTGTGACAACCCTGGGTTTTTTTTCCCAAATTCTTTTTGCAGATCTCACCAGAGGAGTATGAGAAACGTGGCTTCCCTGGGGCCAAGGAAATGGCCGCTATGTTCCGTTTCTATGCCCTGAAGCCAGACCGCAACGTGGACCTGACCATGAAACTCAACCCCAAGGCCCGCACCTTCCATCAGTGGGTAGTGGACAATAAGGCTGCCTTCTGACCCTTCCCTCCCCTCCCCTTCCTCCTGAGCTTCTGCAGCAGGAACTGGCCAAGGAGGTGAGCTGTGCTGAGCCACGCTGCCTTTCCACTAGCCCCCTGGGAAGTGCTGGGTGCTCCAGGGCTCTCCTGCAACTTGGTTGAGACAGTTTAGACCAGTGCAACTAGAACAAGAGGAAAGGCTGTACAGCTGCAGGCAGATGGGGGAAGCGCTACCTTTGCACGCTATCTTTACGGAGGCGTTTGTTTAGTGATTCTGGGTGTTTTCACAGTTGTAGGGCGGTGGTGGTAGCTATTTTTTCCCAGGATCGCCCTCCTTCCCAGGCAGCTCTGAGCTCGTAGCACTGTGCTGAACGTGTAGTACCTCTGGGCCCCACAGGGCAGTGCCTTCTCTGCAGGTACCAGCTGCCAGCCCACGACTAGCGCTGGCTCCTAAGCAAACAAAACTCTGGGGTTTCTGTGTGGACCGGGTTCAGGCACCGCAGGTAAGCCAGCGGGCAGAGCAGCACACCTGCAGAGACGGGGCCCTGTGTTAGCACCGCTCTGGCAAAGAGCTGCCTGCAGCCCCGTGGGTACCATGCAGTGACTTCCCGCGCTGTGTTACCTGAAAGCTGACGCTACTTCCTCCAGTCAGCTTTCAGCTGTGCCCTGGCCTTCAGCTCCCAGAGCTAATTTCAATCACTGCCCTTGTGAACTCAGTAAAACCTTTGCAACCTCAGGATTTAAGACTCCCTTAAAAAGCTCCTTCCCCCACACCAGCATATGCTCAGGTAACAGCTCTGGGGTTTGGCAGTCTTTGCCTGTGCTTTAATTCAGTCACAGCCACCAGAGAGATGCTCGAGACATCTATCCCTGTCCCCTCCTTGTCTGAGACCTTTGTTCCTGGGGGAGGGAAAGGGGGGTGACCGACAAAATTGAAAGAATAGACACGGCAGCAAGGCACAGCACGTGTTAAATATCTTTATGAAGTCAATCTTATTTACATGGATACAGAATCGCTTTACAGACAGTTTAATCAGGAGGCAACACGTGCTTTACTTCAGCAAATTAAGAAGGGCAAGACTACACGTCCTTGTTTAACTGGGCGATTAGTATGTGGGCTGATGGTACCTGCATGGTATAACTAACAACAGCGGGCTACAAGTAACCATGAAAATACTCACTGCAAGAGTTCAACTCCACCTGGAAGGAGTGATCCACTTCACTTGTATTCTCACACATGTAGAATCAGTGACTCCCAGACCAATCATTTATGCTACGGGTGTTGCGCTAATGTAATAAAAGACTTTGTCCCAAACTGGCAAAGGGCTTGGTGATAAAACTTGTACCCATTCAGAAGCAACAGCATTGGTGGTGTAACTTTAGTTAATGTGGGGGAAGGGGGGGGGGGAAAGGGAAACCTGAGACAAAGTGCAGAATCCATCGCTGCCCTTTGTGCAGGAAATCAGCAGGACTAAGAAACCCCACGGCTGCTGAGGGACCCAGGGCAGCCGGGCTCTCACAAGTCCCGGCCCCAGGGAGACTTCCCACGCAGAGATGTGCAGGACAGCTAGGAGGGCCGTTGTAAAGATGGGTTAAAACCTCACTGACCCACCAAGTCTCCCAGGAGAAGATCAACAGTGATGAGTTCACCAATAACATCTAGCATTCAGAAGGGCACCTGAGCGAGCAGCAGCCATCTCTGACTCCTTACAGCAAACTGCTCTGTTCTGTCCTGGAAGGACAATTTTTATTTCACATTTCCACTGTTTTAGATTCTAAATAATACTTCAACTTTAATTTTTACCAAATAAGCTTCCAGCAGCAGTAGGGTCTGTGGAGCAACCTCGCCAGAGTGCCACATTTCTGCAAAGCTGGCGGGTTCCTTCATTACCATTTCCTGGGATGGTGGGTGGGTTTTTAACATGATGATCGTTGGTGCCTCAGTGGCTGGAGCCTCTCCATGGGTGGTGTTTTAACGTTATGGTTGTTGGTGCCGCAGTGGCTTTAGCCTCTCCAGCTGGGATTCTCACTGTGCTGCTGACCAACATCCTTCGCTCTCCAGAGTCTGCTGCCAGAAAGATTCATCCCCAACTGCAAAGATGATCTGCTGCGGCTGGCTCAGTTTCCTGTAGAACGCTTCCCTGTGGTTGAAGCGAGAGAGAAGGTTAACGTTTCCCAAGCGAATCGGCCCAAGGCACGCAGCCCCGGCAGCCTGCTTTGCAAACGCAGGCGTGAGAGCGCCTCCCCACCCGACCTGCCGTCGTGCTTTGTCAGCCACGCAGAACAGACGAGTTCAAAGCCTCAGACAAGCTGAGCCCCTGGAACCCAAGACATGATGATTTCAAGTCCGCAACGCTCCCTCGCAGCAGTCAAACACCAACTGAACGGCACCCTGAGTTACAACGCTGTACGTGTTTGCGTGGCGGGGGCTTTGCCGTGCTTTATGACAAAGACGGATTCCTTCCTGGTGCTGCAAGCCTGTGGTGGGGGCGAGTTCAGCCTGAGCGTACTGGCACCAGAGGCCCACCTGCGCCTGCCGGCAAGCCCGGGCTTTGCAGTGGCAGCAGAACTGCCCGGTCCCGGCTTTACCAGCTAACGGGAACAGCCTCGGTGCTTTGCGTCGGGTACAGCCACCGAGCGGACAAGGAAGCAGAGCTGCAGGGGAGGCCAGCGACCGCCCTGAAGACTGACTCAGCATTTTTGCTGCTTTTTGCTGCAGCAACAATGTAATTTAGTCCTTGGCTTTTTGCTCCAGGTCACAGGGGACGGCTAGGGCTTTTCCCACCAGTGGCTGGAAGGCCTGAGGCTAAGTGAGAAGCAATGCTGTGCTTTTGCTGCTTCTACCTCCCAAGAAGTACAAATTCTGCTTAGCATGAGGGAAAGACGACAATAAAACACAAGAGGCCTCCTACCTCGGATGGAGTGTCAGGAACTAAACATTTTCTTAAGTTTGGAAAGGAATCCCTCCTTGTTCTCCTCAGCCTCAGGCCTATCCCCGCCTGCGTCACCGCTAGCCGTGGCCCTGCCACCTGGACACAAACAGCAAAGGGCTGCAGTCAGATACATCTCCCACCAGTAGCCAGCACCCCTGACCAAGCCAGAGGATTATTTTAGACAGGGAATAGTCAAGTCAGCTGGTTTTCCCAGCGTTCTCGTGTACAGGCATCTCTGCCCATCATCCAGGGCCGCACCTGGCAGCGAGCCACAGTACTGGACCACTTCAGTGAAAGCACTGGAGAGCCTGGACCCCAGAAGTGGAAGAGACCACCATGAGCCCGGGGAACACCCTTCCCCTCTCCCCAGCCCTCCAACTGGTGAGGGAATTCTGCTGCACAATCAAGTCAGGGACCCCACGAGGCTTTGGAAGCAAGCACTTGGAATTGAGAGTGTGCCACTAAAAACAAGTTGTCAACTTGACCACAGCCAGCCATGACTTTACAGGGAAAAAAAAACCAAAAAATGGCAGTCTCTCTTCCTGTTTCATGGTCATGTCATAAGCGTTTAGAGCAAAGTAGTGCAAAACCATTCTGGGAGCCTGCTTCAGGTACTTTCAAGCAATGCTCAAACAGTTATCAAGGAGAGAAAACTAACTCGGGCTAGAATGAAAAAGACTACAAGTATTTCAGAACAAGTGTCCAGATGACGAATCTTACTGGCACCAATGAGCGTAATTTTCCTGTATAAACAGGTCCCAAGAAGTTGTTTGTCCCTCCAGAAGTGGCTACAGCAAGAACACAGGAGACCTCTTTGCTAATGTGCTTTTTCTACTGTAAAACCGTCAATAACAAGACCCCCAAATCCTCCTCAAGCTTTCTTTGCAAACAGAGAACACAAAGTCCAGTCCTCCCGTGGCTGACTGCTGAGCTCAGACTGATGCAATGGTATGAAATACCAAGGCCTGCGGCAGAACACGCCTCCAGCCACTCAGGGTATTTCAGCTTCCCAGAGCAAGGACACGCTTTCAGCAACAGCCTATCTCTACACTGCAAACTACTGGCGTTGGTTTTAATCTACCTTGCAGCTTAATTGTGGTAAAAACTGGCAGGTTTGCTTTTTAAAAATTATGTTTGGAGAGTTTTTTGTTTTTTTTTTTTTCCCTGTGGCTCATAGATGTCTTTAAAAAGCTGGAAAGAAAGCTTTGTGCTTAGAGATCTCTCCCTCTCAAGGCTGACCCTCGGTGGAAAACACATAACTTCTGTGGTATGAAAGCACTATAAAACATAACATTAGTTAGTCAGTATTTGACAGATACCGCCTTCCAAATATCCTGAACTTCAGCCTGTATTCCTCAGGCTTTGCCATGTGTAGTAGAGAGGAGTTACTGCGATCGTTTAGAAGCTTTGAAACACTCACCTCGGCCTAGCTGTACGCAGTCATAAATGCCCTTTCTGATTTCAAGCATAAAAAGAAATCCAGCCGGCTTTAAGAAGTTAATTTTTCCAATATGAGAAAAGGAAAGACTGTTTTCCAATAGTGAAAGACAAAGCTCTTGCCCTATTGTTTTACCATACATTTTGCCTTTAGCCGCTACTGATGCCAGGTACCTCACTCCTGAAGCTTAAAACACATAATTGCTCAATCAAAATTTTTAATCTGGAGCTGAAAGAGCAGCTTTACAAAGCTCCCAGCTGACTTCACTCCTTCCGTTGCGCTGGACGCTGCCTACCGATGAACATTTCTACCCTAGGTTCCCCCACATGCACGGAGAAGGGCTCAGAGCAGCCTTGATAGCAGTGCTCCCCTTCAGCTTTCAAGGAGAAACGTCCCCGCTGCGCTTAGCAGCGCAACGGATTAGCTCTCTCAGAAAACTGGCCTGAAGCACATTCTCTTCTTCCTCCTCTGCTATTAAGACAAGTTACTTCTGGCACGGGGGCAGAAGCAGGGAGCGGAAGGCATTCATCAGCACAGCGAGACTCACCACAACTTGTCCGGACCCTGGAGTATCTCAATACCTGCTCTCTATTCATGCACAGATTTGTCCAGTAAGTATTCAAGTAAAGCTTTCTGGGAAGAGGCTACCTCCTTGCTTTGTACTACAGTCTTTTAACTTCACACTAAAACTACTTCCAAAATAACGTGCTTGGCAGGTTGTGCTGACACACTGTCTTGAGGTGACCTTGGCTCACCTTCCTGCCCAGGAACCCTCAGGAAGCGCTCGGCGCTCCCACGCCAGCTCCTCGAGGAAGAAGCACTAATTCCCTCTGCTCACCTGATGCTGTATTTGTGACCCCGTTCACCGTGCCGTCCACATCCGCCTCGTCCTCGGCGTAGCTCATCATTAAGGCTCTCTGGCGATCCGTCAGCCTCCTGCAGGTCGAAGACAGAGGTGTTAGTTACAGCCGTCTTTAGGGACAGATGTATGTACAGACCTCCTTAACCTTCTCCAGCAGCTCGCGCGAGAGGCAGCTACTGGAAGGACAAGGTTAGTACACTGCGAATCCCTACGGTGCTCTAAAATGGGCAATCTATAAAGAATAAGCCCCAATGGAAGAGGAGAGATACAACCCACTGCGTTTCACCAAACTGCAGTGAAAAACCACGGTATTTTGAAGCGCTGAGAAGAACCGTGTGGAGCTGCGACAGAACGCACGTCTGGTGGGCAGACCTCAGGAAATGAACTCCCTTGCTGAGTGCGGCAATACAAGCTGAAAAGTTTCCTTCACCGCAGCGGGTGGCCAAGCAGTCTGAAATGCAACTGCTAAAGAGTTCAGTTCCTTTGAGCTGTAGGTGTGAGAGCACAGACGCATTGTAAGCCAGAACACCAAATTTATGTAACCAGGATCCAGACAGAATCTCAGATAGCCAGGCAAATCCGCAGGTGAAGAACTACTTGGGTATTTCCAGGGTTTAGGATTTTTAGAGCTGGGTTGCCAAATGGTATTATTAACACACACACAAAAAGTCTACCTCACATTAGAATTAAAAGCAGAGTGAGAAATAAATGATCTTGATAAAGCAGTAAGGAATTTTCACAAAGTCTTTCTCTCTGAACAAGATTTTTTGCAAAAAGTTCAAGGTTTCACAGAAACTTGTATTAGCTCTACTTACTGAGGAACTTTTATCTTTATGTGAATGTAGTGGTCTCCATAGCCGTAACTGTTAACCTTGGGAATGCCTTTCCCACTCATTCGAATCCTCTGGTCTGGCTGAATACCAGGCGGTATCTATGAACACAGAGGTGTCACGTTTATTACTCTAGTTTAACCATTTATATAGCAATTACATTACATGTCTATAAAAATTAACTACTTCTCCAGCAAGCTTCAGAGTAGGATGGGAGAGATCTGGAAAGGAGCGGTGACCAAGCAGGTCACAAACTACCTGACGCTCAACCTTGGAGAAGTCTGAGAAGCGATACTGGCAGGTTTAGGAGATTTGCACCTCCTTTGCAGCAAAGGAGAAGTCTCTGCTGTCCCACATCGATTTATGCCCAAGGTCTTCCACGTAACGGTACTTACCGTGATATTGATTGTCTCGTACAAGCCTTGACATCTGGCTGTGCCTCCCAGAACAGCCTGTGCTATTGAAATAAGCAGGTCTGAATGGATATCTGCTCCATTTCTTCTGAACACGGAACTTTTCTGAACCTAAAAGGCAGGCAGTTCCAAAGAGACGTGAGCACCCCACCACAAAGTTCTCACAGTAAACTGCTTTGAAGGTTCCCAGAAGAAAACTTATCAGAATGCTGCAGTCAGACCCTTTACCATCCACAAACTGCACGGCTAAGAAGTCCAAGTTAATGTTCAGTCTTTTAGAAAAACACAGATCCTGACATAACTGTAATTAGCCAGAGGCTTAGGAGGATGCCTGCTTCCTATCTCAGCAACTCCCTCCCCTAATCCTGCTGTTAATTTATCACTGTCAGTATGATTCTGCAGAGACAGAGAAGACACTGCCTTGTCCAGTACCCTGAACAGGGGAAAGCCAGAAGAGAAGAGGCAGACAAGCACCTTTGCGGTGGCCTCACAAGCTGGAAGAGAATTAAATCCTCCTGCACCGCAAAAAAGGCGCTGAAAAAAAAAATGTGCTCCTTGACAGAGACACGTGTGACAGGATCCCCACAGGAGAAGAGGGCCCCAGGTACAAAACCCATGCAAAGCGGCACTTCACGTGTATCTGCAGGACGCTCGAGCAGCCAGCCTCTCACGGGCGTTCCCTCAGCACTCCCACCCGCACGAGCAGACGGCTCCTTGGCATTTCCAAGTCAAAGACTCGAGGCATCAAGAACCTACTCTGCATTTTGATGCGCACTGCTAAGGGCCTCCTCCTGGAACAAGCAGCGCAATTCTTCACAAGCAGACTTAATGTTACACCGCTTGTTACAATGCAAATCTTCTGCTATCTCAGAAAGTTCACGTGGATCATGTTACCTCAGCTGTTTCAAAGGATCACTCGCTCTTCCTCCTCCGTCCCCCATTCAGTCAGGCTTCCCCGGCAGTTGCGAAGGGAACAAGCAACCAACTTAATACTGAAAACAGCCAACAACGTAATGATACGTACCCTGAACGTAATGAAAATTTCTTTCTTCCCCACGGGCATCCGGACTGTCTGCCCATCCTCAACACCTGTAATGAGAAAAAAAACGAGGGTATGTCAACTTGCGTTGTAATCCGCGTGTTACTGGAATACCTACAACTCTTGCTGTCCCCAAAAGCCGGCCAGCACAGCACCACAGAACACTCTCCACAGGAGCCCAGGAGCTGCGGCTGAAGGTGTCGTCAGCACACGTTTATACCTCTGAGGTGGTCACTACAGCCCAAGCAAGCTCGTTACTTCAATCCCTTACAGAATTCTTTTGGGAAATGCATCAGACCAAGGAACACTGGGCAGCCTCCACAAGCTGCAGGAAAATTCCAGGCTGCTCAGCCAGGGTGGTCTCAAAGAAGCAAGTCTTCAGCCCCACCACTCGTTTTATCCTCTCCGGTGAGGAAGGCCATCAGCATGCTTTCCTGAGCCAAGCTAAAGCTTTCAAGATTCCCACCCTCCCTTTTCACTTTCAAAAGCTGCCTAGAAGAATCCATGCAAGAACCAAAACCTGAGCTCAGGAAGGGCAAAGCAAACACTTATATCCACGGCCAGAAAGTTCATCTCATTACTAGCCCTTTCAATTGCCAAGCTATCAACCTGCTTTGTTCTCAAGACAACTTGCCTGCAGCAAAACTGCTTACATTGCTCTCACATTCATACCTGGAAGGAACCAGCCACGCTTTGGAGGCAAGTGCCTTGCTGTTGGCCAGGTGGAAGGAAATAACTAGAGTTATTTAACAGGGAGCAGCACGCAAGTACACCACTAACCAGCTGGCACAGGAACCACCACTGTCTTCTTTTGTTTGGTTTGCCCCGTTCCTCGACACACTACGCATGGCGTTGTTATGATGGAACCACGACCGCCGCATCGTCGGCACGTAGATCGCATTACAAAAGGGCCGGTATTTATCGTCTCCTAGTGAAGGAAGCACAGATCATACAAATATTTGGTATTGACCTGATACTTTTCACTTCCGCAACACACTGTCGGTGACTGGCGCAGCACATTTGAGTCCCTCTAACTGCAGGTGCAGCCTGACAGGACAGCGATGCCCTTTAGCGAGGAGAGGAGCAGAGAACTGACTCAAAAAATCCAGAGGGGATGCAGCTTGTGAGAAGCGGGATCAGATTCAATTGCCATCGCATTCCGATTGCCAGTGAAAACCATCGCGACTACGAGCAAGTGTCTTGAGGGGAGGGGAAATAAATGCTTCATCTCTGGGATTTAAAGCACAAGCAGTGACTGGCGCAGCACATTTGAGTCCCTCTAACTGCAGGTGCAGCCTGACAGGACAGCGATGCCCTTTAGCGAGGAGAGGAGCAGAGAACTGACTCAAAAAATCCAGAGGGGATGCAGCTTGTGAGAAGCGGGATCAGATTCAATTGCCATCGCATTCCGATTGCCAGTGAAAACCATCGCGACTACGAGCAAGTGTCTTGAGGGGAGGGGAAGGGAAATAAATGCTTCATCTCTGGGATTTAATGCACAAGCAGGAACAAAGCTCCTTACAGCACTGTTTCACAAGGAACTACAAACACCTGTATTTTGAGGAATCCAAGGACAATCCACTTGCAAAATTTATTGCCAGTGTCCAGGAAAAAGTTACAGAGACTAAGCTATGGACTGAACCGTGAAAGCCACCCGCCAGACAGAAGCACGCAAGGCAACAGTGGGAAGAGTCTGCAGTCTCCCCTGACCAACCACACCTGTTCTGCGCAGAAGGGTATTCTGGTCACAGACGGATTGCTGGTACCCATTCTGATGAGTGGAAATTGAAAGCCTGAAGCTTGATCATTACTTACTGTGAGTAACATGCTGCCCTGGTTCACGCATCTTCTTATTTCATGATTACCCTTAGGCTGTCGTCACCTTCCTCCTCCCTCCGCCCCTCAATTCAACGTATCCCATTTAACGACCAAGTAATTTCAGAACTGTTACACTATATAAATATGGTTTGTGGGATGTGCAACACCAGATGATAACCCTGAGGGCTAGTGCTTTTATCTTTAATACAAAGAAAACCTTCCTAGTGCCTCTTGACATCAAGTCCACATCAACTCAGCTTCACCCAAGATAAGCTGATGACTGCAGTGAGAATTTTTCACCGCAGAAGGGACTGACTTGCCTCAGCAAGGAAAAGCACAGCAGAATCTCTCTTAAAAAAGCACTTACCATGCCAGTGCCACTGCAGTAGTGACAGCGCTGCGCTTTGGTACCAGGTTCGTGTCCTTTACCATTGCAACGCTCGCAGGAGTCGTTGATGTTCACCACGATCTCCTTGTTAACACCTTTTGCAGCTTGGGTGAACGTCAGTTCCATGATATACTGTACAGGAAACACTGACATTAATCTACAGGTGACGTGCGATGGGGTCCTTAAGCAGACTGAAATTGGTTTAGGTCAAATATCAAACAATGCTTAAGATACATCCAGGTAGTAGAGGGGGAAGAAACAGATTCAGAAGGGTTCTGCCTCACCTGAGGAAGCAATCATCCATCCCTCATAAATAAAAAGGGTACAGAAGGATACCAAACATTGCAGGAATTATGATTACACCACTATGATGAGCTGTTGCACAGCAGAAATGAGATTTAAAAATATAAGAGAAGGAAGTAAAAATAGAAGTCAAGCGTTTTTCTGCCTTCAGGAAAACTCTTAATGCTTCTAAAGGGTTTGTTTAATGGGAATGCAGCAATAGGTGAGGGAGCAAGGCTTTCAATACTGATGAATCCCAAGCTCCTCCTCGAGAAACTCTTTGCATCAGCAAAAAAGACAGCACAAAATAGGAAATTCTGTCATTTTTAGTAAAGGTAATTTTTAGTAAAGCCAGAAGTACTGAATACCAAGCATTTCTGAAGGCAGCACATGAACCAACACCATCACTACTTGAAAGAGCACTGAGCTACAGTACAAAGAACAAGACCTAAGTTTTGTTTTATTATGGGCTCCACTCCAAAGTTAAGCCAATTAAGTTGCAAAATTAAGCCAATTAAGTAGTCAAACCTAACGCTGGAAGGCTTGCTTTATAGTTAAGAGGTACTTTGTGGGTTTTAGCGTTACAGATCAAAGCAGACATATGTAAATCAACGTACAGCAGAAAAGATGCCTCTACAATGAGGGAATTGTTTGGCAGCACCAACTGGTGTCAGTAAACACCAGATGAAGTAGCTGAAGTCAAAAAATATTCTGTACGGAGGTGTGGAGAATGTATCTACATAGCTTATCAAAAAATACATGCCTCTCCCACCCATGCAACAAGGCGCTCGCGTGCTGACATTCTCAGGCGCAAATTCTTTGCTTAAGCTCTCTCCTGGAGCGATCTGGACAGACCAGTGTCCCTCTCTGGCTTTTGAGTTTTTCATTTCTCATTTTCATTTCATGACTCAGAAAATAAACGCACTTCATACCTCCTGTGGCTGGTCAAAGACATTCTGAAAATCACCAAAAGGGGATCCCGAAAACTCTCCGAAGATTTTTCTGAAAAGCTCTTCCGGGTCAATCGATGGACCACTGCTCCAGTACTGCCGCCCAGCGCCGGCACCTGCTGCGCCAGGATCAAAACTAGCCGTGCCGTACGCATCATACTGTTTCCGCTTCACTTCATCACTTAGTACCTTTGAGGTAAAAGAACGATGCCATCAGGACACGGTACAGATCCCGAGTGACCGGACGTTCTCAAACCTTCTTGTTATCAGGAGGGCTATGAATTACTGAAAAGCGGCTTCTTCTTCCCTGGTATCTCTCAGCTCGTTATCAGGAAAATAACGAGATCTTACTAATTTATAATAAGCAAGAATAACTTACATTATATATAAACATAGTGGGTGGAAGCTGGTGGTAAGAGTGCCGGAGTAATTTTGAAAACCCAGGACAGCAAAAACGAGCACAAGAAGATTTCTGGCCAAGCTGAAGAGCAGGAAGAAACGGGGCTGGGGGAGCACAGCGGAGGGCACCTCTGTCTCCAACAGCTAGCAACTGCTGACAGCTTTTTCTGTTTACTTAAGCTGACCGATAATTCCACAGCAGCGACCACTGCAACCACGCCAGTCACTCACTGCTAAAAAAGAGCAAAAGCTGGAAGAGCCCAAAACATATCCAGCTAAACCAGATTATCTGGGATAAGTAATTGCCTGGAGACACCGTTGGGACAGAGGCACTCAAGCCTGAAGTAAAAGACATCAAAAACTACCCATGGTTTTACAGGAAACACACACGAGAAACGGTTTCCCCCCCACCTACCCCCCAATCTTTCCTCCTTTTCATGACGATAAAATCCCGCATATTACCTCGTAGGCTTCTGCCAGCTGAGAGAACTTCTCTTTAGCTTTAGGGTCATCCTTATTTGTATCAGGGTGGTATTTCTTTGCCAGCTAAACAACAAAAATCAAACTGTTAGAGACAGACAGAACTAATTTACTTTGGCATACCTCACATGCCAGGAAAAACCCATTAGGCAAAGCCTGGCGCTCGCTATCCTGTATGTCAGGGAACTAACAGCCTTCACTTTCCGTTACCACCCCAGCAGAAGGAACTACAGAAGCTATTCCCGGGTCTCTCAGCAATTCCAGGACCTTCTGGAAAGAGCCCCGCGACAACAACCACGCTTACGAGGAGATCCCCAACCCGACACGCTGAGCATTCCCACCGCCACCTCCCCTTGTCTCCAGCGGGTGCAAACACTGGGATCTCCAGAGCGGTTTTCGTCTTCGCGGCCGGCTACGACTCCTCCACCTGGCTACGGGCCCTCGGCCGCGGCCCGGCAGGGTGCTCCCCCCCCCGGCAGGGTCCCCCCCCGGACGTGCCTGGTAGTAGGCCTTCTTGATCTCCTTCTGGGTGGCGGTGCGGGGCACCCCCAGCACCTGGTAATAGTCCTCCTTGGCGCGG